TTGTTTCGCGTAATTTGTTTTTTAACTAATATTACACATGATAATACTTCGATATTTTGGACCAAAACGGTATTAATATAAAGCAATTTTATTTCGTCAAGACAAAGAGATCAAGCTCCACCTCTGACGCTATATTTATCTTCTGTTTTCACTTAAGGTCTTCCGTGTACTTAAAAAAATATTTCCCTTTTTTTATGTGACTAAGATATTATCTACAATCTAAAAGCGACGTCGGTATTATCACTGACGCATTATGTAAAGTTCCGTAATATTTGTAACTTAAACTAAGTTACATCATAATAAACATCATTTTTGAAATAACAAAACGCACACGCGCTACATTTTTTTTTTAATCTTCAGGCTTACGATAAAATCTGACCATAAATAAGTTTACATCGTGATGTCGACCGGGAGCTCTCTAATTGACATCTTGATACATATCGAGCATTTGCGGAATATATTTTACGTCAACGTTTTTCTGGATACCGCTCGCTGTACAAATATTTGGTGGGTTTTTTTTTCATCGACCATAAGGCGTCTAACATAAATCGTGCCAGAGTGCCAGTGACAGGGAACCGATTCTATTATTGGTGTTTTTATTTGATGGTTTTATGAATGTAAATGTCTGTGTACTGTTAAAGCGATACGTCTCGGTTATAACGTGATATTATAAATGTTCGTTTTCTATTAGAAATTAAAAACAAGTAAGACCTTTCTGAAATTACAATATTTCAAAGCCACTCACACAATGAAAAGTTGCTTCTGAATTGTACACCAATATTTTTCTTGCCAGAATTTTAAAAATATAGACAGCGATGTGTGATTGTAGAATTATTGATTTTTTGGCAATAAATTAAAAACAAGTAAGACCTTCTTTTTGAAATAACAATATTTCAAAGACACTCACACAATGAAAAGTAGCTTCAGAATTGTACACCAATATTTTACCCGCCAAAATTTTCAAAATACAGACGACGATGTGTGCGTGTTTTGTCGGCAATAAAGAAAAAGTAAGAAAAGAGTTAAGACTCAAAAAATATCTGAAAACACGTAAACTGTAGACGTATGTTCCCACGTTTTATCGCTCACATTAGTCAGTATGAGTGATTTGTCGTTTACAACCCTGAAAAAATGGAAAGCATTTCATGAAAATATTTTCAAGTATTTTCTACAACATAAATTATGAACACAAAAGCAAAATACTATAAATATAATGAAAATTTATGTCAAATTTATACCCGTCTAACACTTTTAAACGTAACAATGAACATTAAGCATAAGTAGTTATTCATTCGATAATAAAAATATATTGCTGAATTATTCGATTCATTTGCAATAAGTAGCTCGGTGGATTAGTCGATATGCGCCGCAACACTCGATCGTTGTCGTTAAGCAACTTTCGCAAGGGTCAGTCACGGGATGGGTGACCAAAAATTTATAATCTCGAGCCTGCAAATCCGCATTGGGCCAGCGTGGAGGGTCATAGCTCATGCTCCTTAACCATACATAAGGAAGGCCTGAGCAGGGGCAGTGGGGATGAAATAAAGGGCTGATGATTATGATGATGGTGATTCAATTCATTTATTTGGAACGAAATAAATGTAATTCGTTCCACAATTGTGTAAAATAGTGAAAAAAATATAATTAAAATAAAACTAAAAACCCACCCGCCTGAAAAACAAATAACTGAAAAGGCTGGAACAAGATAAAAAAAATATGTAACATCATACATTACATAACATGCAGTGCATGCACAAAGAGAGAATGATTTGACTTAATATTATTCAATATCATGACTCCAACTGCGTATTATGTATGATCATGCATAAATTTTTCAGTTAGTTGTTTTTCACACAATCAAATTTTTTGTTTTATTTTATTTGTCTTTTTAGTTTGACAAATTATCAAGTACCAACAGAGTCTATATTTTTACATTGTTTTTTTTATTAGTATTAGTATTACAATATAGTATATAATATTTGTAATACAATAATCTGACGAAATCATGAAGCCAATGAGAAGTATCGCACAAGTTACTCGAAAACTAAATTACGTCTAAAACCTGCGGGGCTTTATTAAGCCACTTCCTTTGACTATTTCAATTAAAAAATAATTCATTTCCGGTGTTACAATAAAAAAAAACACATTCCTCAATTCTCAGACGGCAGCCATTTCACTATGATTACATTTCAAAAGCATTATCGGTCGCAATCTTAAAAACAATGCGAGCTCTCCAAAAACCTATTGTATATTTGACGCCCCAATGATCCCTAAAGAGGGTTAATCTACTGTTTAAATGGTCCTATGAACCCTTTTGTACCACTTTAAGACAATTAAGCGGTGTTTTTTTTAATATATAGCCCTACATTTTGATGACGGGGCTGAAAAGACCGGGTGTATTGTTGAATGATGTATTATTTTTTTATTATTATGAACTTTAGTTTGATGAAGTTTGGAGACAGAACCGCTTGTGAGCATAGCCATTGTTTCTGTGAAGTGTTAACAGCAATTTTTGAAGTGCGAATTCTACGCTTGTTTTTTTTATTGTGTTGTGATTTTTTTTATAATTCATAATATTAGAAAAAGAAAGGATAGTCTAGTACTTCTTTATATTAATTAAGAAATGTTTTAAATTAGAAAATAATATGAAATATTGCTTGTTAATTAACGCACAAACGTTAATTAAAATTGTCGTTAGTTTAAACCGACATTAGTATAAAATTTAGAACATACGTTGGAGCTTATAATCGTCATTAAACCTTAATGTACGTTTGTGCAACTAGATATTCATGATACAATTATGTATAGAGTTCCGGTATTATTAGAAAATTTGAATCTTTGCTTAGTCTTTTAAACGGAAAAACAGAACCATTACAGGATTACTTGACTGTCTGTCTATCTGGCCAAGTCATAATCGGTTTTCTCCGATATTACTGAACCGATTAAATTGCAATTTGTCACTCAAATGCAAATCAGTGACCAAAGCTCTGTCGTTTTATATTAGGAAATTTGTGCGGAATCCTTTTAGCGCAAGACTGCCTCGTTCTGGTCCGATAACTTTTATTTTGATCCGAGAAGACCATTGAATCCAATACGATGGTATTTTTTCAATGCATTCTCAATGTTCTATGCCTAGTTGTAGGATTTTGGAGCAATAATTTTCTATCGCTATACGTTATAGAGAAGTCGCAGTTGTTCTAAACAAAAAAGGATATAGCCTTTTAATTATTATATTTTTCAAAAATAAACCTTAAATTCTTTAAATGTTCTTAAACGTTTATACCACAGCGTTTTATTTAAAAAATGAATAAAAACTATCAAAACCCTTTTGAAACAGGCCGGTCCTTCCGACCCGTCTCGTTAAAACCTCCTCTGAATTTTAAGGTTGTTGTGTCTGGTTATTTTTTTTAATATACAGTCGGACCCGCCGGCGCCGAGTAGTCAACAATGAATGAAATATAGATGAAGTTCGGCAAAGTTCGGGAAAGTTCGTGAGGTTTCACTTTGTAAACTCGGCAGGGTGATCATATATCATCACACGCTAACTTTTAGACTGGCGCTTCAGATGTTTATAATTTTCTACGATATAGGAAGCTGATAAATAATTTGTAATAGTTTTGATAATATTGTTGATAGCTAGCGAGAAATTGATTGTATCTTTGCCTTATTAGACTAGGATTCAAAGTTATGATAATTATTTATAGTATGCTCATATCTTTATCTTTGAGCCGGATCCCTTGCGGAGTAAGCAGACACACTAATCTTCCTATAATTAAAGTACCAAGATTATTAATTACTTAATAAATATTCTATTTGATAATTTTGCCATCATAATCCTATACTGATAAATATTGAAATGAAAAATGCTTAAAATATCCACTAGCCCCATTTAGCCCGAGATGGAAATCGAACCCACCACCCGTTGACAGCCACATATTGAGAACTAATTTATATACAGGGTTAAAGGAAAAGTGGACCTAGACCCTGAAGGAGATTGTAGTATACATCATTACAAACAAATTTGACTATGAAACAGCCTATCCAAAACCTAACCGTCTTCAAGTTACAGGACTTTTATGTTTTTTTTATAAAAAATGCCGGTTTTATGTACTCAAAATTGGTTTTACTCGTTTTCGACGTATATTTGTTTATTTTGATAAAGTAGATAAGTTATTTTATTATTATCATCCATAAAACCATAACTAACAGAACAATATGGGTCAGTGTAGAGGTTAGTTTGTTAAAAAAATAAATTCACTAAACCAAAATATTTTTTTCTTTGTGTAACCGTTTAAAAAATTAATATGGCACCAACATATATACCAAAATGGAACAATAAAATATTATGACTATTACCTTTCGCGATCCTCACAGGTTTTTTAAGCATTTTTAATAAAAATATTTATAATTGTGAAGACAAAATGGATCAAATATAATAATTACAACTAATCTCCATCTTAATCGAAAGTTTAAAAAATTCGCCAAACTATTTTATGTCGGATGTTTGGGTGGATTTCCTGAAAATATTGTCACTAGTAACGAAAAGTAACAAATATATATAGTATTTATATAAGTATTGTTGGGTCTCGGGTAGTTCAATAATTAATGCAGTCGTCCGGATTGCTAAAGTCCCATCTCAGAGTAAAAAGAGTCAATAAATATCTTTATAATATATTATTATAAAAGTATAGATTAAAGCTCACTTCAGGCGTTAAGATTGAAATGTTGACATTGTCAAATTGGATCATAAGTATATGTGAATTAACCTCGACTTTAGAGAGTTCCGTACATAATTGCAGTTAATTTGTACATGTCTACATACGAATCTTGCAGCAATTACATCTTTTTTCTGTATATCCCGAAAGATTTTTATTCGCAATACAGACATTCCGTTATTACCAGATGGTCTTTTTTTTCCACTATGGGGAGCTACCATCGTACTCGGGTGACTATAATAGTCTATAAACTATAATATACGCGGGCGATAGTCTTATAAAAATATGTCTCTGATGTCAGAGATAGATTTCGAAACCGTAAGCGTACCAGGTGATTGTTGTACTAACTGAAGTATCCGAGACCATGGAGTCCTGAAACAGTTAAATGTTTTTAGTATTTTAAACGACTTAAAAAAAGAAGGAGGTTCTCATTCGACTGTATTTTTTTCTGTTTGTTTTTAACTTTTTACTGGGTGGACTGAATTTGATGAAAGCTAGTGCTTGCCGTGTGTCCCATTTCAATTTGGTCCAAATCTGGCAATGGTATCTATGAGAAAACCATATGTCTTAAATTTGCATTAAGTATGAGTAATGTTTGTTACCTAATAACTTTTTACAGAGTGATCCGATCTTATTGTTTTTTTATTTTTATTTGGAAGCTGGTGCTTACGCTGTGGCTGAAAATTAAAATGGGACCCCACCCATTTAAATTTTCAGCATAGTACCTATTTGTCAGACTTAGGAGAAGGATTTTGTTTTTTTTTTTGTTTTTCATTTTATGGTATATTAATAGACTAAAAAAATCAAATAGGTTTGCATTTTGATACGGTTTTCAGAAAAGTATTTTCAGTATTACATATCAATATCACTAAAAAGCATGAAATAAAAAAACTTAAAAAAAATAAAACCGAAAAGCATCTTCTTGAATAAGTAGCTTTTAGGATAAGATTTTTTTATTCACTTTTTTAAGTTTGAAATCAGTTCAATTTTTTTTAAAGTTTTCTTATTACTTTAATACCTACTCCTTAACATCTGAGCACGTACCCAGTACGTGATTCTTGTATGAAACATGTACGCGGCTGTCAAAACCTAATTATAAAATTTTTAATGTCAAATTTATCAAGTATAAGACTGATGAACAACGAAATTTTTATGTAAATATCATCCTTTACAGCAAGGACTTATTTAATAATTTTTACAAGTCGGAATAACCGTTAATCTTTTTACATAATTTACCCCAATTCTATACGGATTAACTTCAAAAATAGGTATAACTGATTAATCTGAATGAAAGTGATTCAACATAAATTAACTGGCGAGGGGCAAAGGAACCTTATAAATAAAAACCGGGATAAATACGACGAAAGATAAACCTTACAACCATTCAGCTGGACTTACCCCTACATTAGGTAGATCCCTTGCAGGTTCCTGCTTTTGAATCATGGAACCCCAAAAAAATAGATCCACGCATCCTTCTCAATGTGAGATTGAAATCTGATCGTGTATAATCGGAGCTCGAGTTTTAATGGATTTACCGGTTTGAGAAATTAAATAATACGCACTTTCTTTTTTTCTTGTCGGCATCATTAATATTCAATTAAGCCTAATACAAGCTGTCTTAAAGCAACCGATCGGATTGCGGAAGGTGTTGATTTCAAATGTTTGTAATCGATATACCGTATTTTTTTTATAATACAAAAGCTCAGTTGTAGGTGTGTTCTTACAATTACTTTCCCATTATAAATCGAGAGGAAAGATTCTTTTTCGTTTATTTGTAATGGATAAACTCAAATATTAGTGAACGAATTTCAAACGTAATTATTTCAATATGTATAAAAGAAAGACATATGAAATATGTTAAAATGGAGTAAGATAAAAAAGGTCTGTTCTCGAGTTTAAAATTGTTTCCAATTATGGTTACTATATAATAAGAAACACGTTTTTTTAGACGATACTGATCACTCTACTTTTAGAATTTTACTAGCATAAAAAGAGGGGTGTTTTAAATTTTATGTGCACGTCTAGGGGCATTGATATAAAGGTGTTTTTAATATTCAATCAGTATTCACTTAATGTATCAAAATGAACACATTTGCTTACGTCTTAAATATTCATATTTAATCCGACCAACTTGTTATATGTTTTTTTCTGTTATCTGTAGATATCTCTCTTTGCTGACGACTTACAAGACAATATATCGGATGCAAAATTTCTTCAAACTGACATTGATAACGTTATGAGTTGGTGCAATATGAATGGCATGACAATTAAACCATATAAATGTTTTTATATTAGTTTTACAAAGTATATAAATATAAATATCTATAAATTGTTGACAAAGTAAAAGATCTTGAAGTTATCATAGAAAATAAACTAAAATTTGATTTTCATATTGGCTCAATTTTTACTAAACTAGCTCAAATGCTTGGCTTTCTTAAACATAATTCACAAGGATTTCTGCGGCAGAATACAAAAATAAGTCTTCTTCGAAGCAGACTTGAACTTGCCTCTATTGCGTGAAACCTTGTATATACTAACTCATCACATAGAATTGAAACCATTCAAAGGGCCTTCACGAGTGATCTAGCTTTTAAGTCAAACGGTATACATCACAGGGTTCCTTAAAATATGCGATTGTTTTTCTTTGGTACGACGTCGTGAAAGAACTTTTTTCTACTTTTTTTTTAACAAAATTATTCATTATAAAATTTCATATCCCGATTTGGTGGTCGCTATCATCGTCACTGTCCCACGTTTCTGTCCCAGGAAGCCCCTTACAAAAACTTTCAACTTGCCACGATGTAATACTAATATTGGCTATCATTACACCTTAGTTAAAATTTGCAATAGTTACAATAATTTTAATTCGAAGTCTGCTCGAGTTTCAGATTGTGTTTTTTTTATTAAAAATGATAAAGATTTTTTTTTCTTTAAGCTTAACATGTTATATAAGAATTTTGTGTACGCTTGTTGGCTTACATATCAGTCTGTCTTGTGATTTTTTATATTGTTAAATTTGTCTAGCTGTAAGCACACCATAATAATAAATAAATAGAAGTATTTTCTGTATTTATTTTCAAAATTTAGATCCAATATTTTCAGAAATCAGTGATAAAAATCGACCCTAACATAGTTTACGTATATCTGTGCCGTAACTAAGGAATTGTGTCAACTTAAAATACGTTACCGTGACTGGTATTTTTCTTCACAGTGCGTCCTCTCTGGGTTCGTCTGCAAGGAGGCAAGCGACCTCTGGTGGCGGGTCAGAGCACTGAACTAGTCTGTCAATCCGTCGGCGCTAGACCGAAGCCAACTATATCCTGGTGGAAGGGAGGTACCAGACTGAAGACTGTTAGAGAAACTGTAAGTATAAAATTAAATATAAGACAACTTACATTGCTCAGACCCCAAGTTTAAGTAGTTTAAAACTAATATTGACTTTATCTTCACTGTAACGTAATGGTGGTACTATGAAATAACTTTTTCCACATATTCCCTAAATACTAGGTATCCAGGAAAATTGTAGACAGTATCCAAAATTTTTTATCACTGTAAACCATGTTCACTTTTTTAACCTAGCATTGGAGATAAAAATAAATAGGAAAGAAAATAATTGTCTACGAAAACTATTGAAATTAGCATGACAGTATATGAGAAGGTTCTTCTCAAAACTTAACAATTCTATTTCCGACAGAAATTATTATTTATTTTTCATTGGAATTAAAACTCAATAAAATCAGAAAAAAATAATAAAATAACTTCATAATGACATAAGCTTGCCTCAATTACATATTTATGGAATTATTTTTGAATAACATACAAAGCGTGAGTAACCTTATCATCTAAATAAAATTCCAGGTTAAAACTATTTCCTCGAAAAACAAACAGAGAAATGGTGTTTTTAAAAGAACCTCTTCAATTATTTAAATTAATATTAAGTTGTCTATTTTTCCTGTATATATTTGTGCCTATATAAAATAATACCATAACCGTTACTGTTTGTAATTTTAGATACCTAGCAATATTTTATCATAGTATTGATATTGTACTAAAATATACTTATCCACAACATTGAATTAAGTTATAATTTGTAACTTACGGAACACATCTGCGACCGGCGTGACCGCACGATCCCTAGAGAGTGTCCCTGATATTCCGAAGATATTGCCACATAATTCCTCTGGAACACCTCGGTCTTACTGAAGTATATCGTGTTAACACCCTCTCGCTTACATAATTCATTGATAATGAGAACTTTATTTATACTGAGGGGTTTTGAATTTATCAGCTGTGTTAAAGAGAAAAAGAAAAAAATACAATATTTGTTACTCTTTTAATAGCCGAGCACGTACCCAGTACGGGTATATTTATAAAAATAAAAGGGACCTAATCAGTTATCAAGGGATTATTATAATTTGAATAATTTTTCATTCACAATGCCATGCTGAAAAATATTCTTAATACGAAATGCTTAAAACATCCACTTGGTCCCTGGCACCCTGAGATGGAAATCAATTAACTTTTTTAAGCATTTTGTATTAAGAATATCGAAGGATTATTTTTAGTTTATTTTGGCATTGAACATGTTAATATTGCTATTTAATGAATTGTCTAATTGGTTAAATTGATTCAACCACCTAGACGGCAGCATCCGCGGATGAAAAAGTCTAATTCTAATGTAAGTCTCCATAAAAGCTTGGAAAAACGTAATAATATCATTACTCAAATGGAAGATTAAAAAGTGATTGCAATGATGAAAGAATGTTTTTAATTATTTTATTTGATAATATTGCATTCACAATGCTCTAGTTTTTACTTTATGCCGCCTTCGCGTTTATCGTTTTTCCCAAAGGTTGCCTGGGAGAGAATGTCATTAGCATTAAATGCGCCTTTTGTCCCATTTCTTTTCTGGTCAATAAAGTTTGATAAATAAATAAATATACCGATATATCAATTTTGCTTGAACATTGGTTCTTGTAAAATTCGCCAGTGCTTTTAGGTCTCATGTAGTTCAATGATTAGAGTAGTCCGGATACCCAAGATTGTGTGTTCAAGTCCCATCTCAGGGTACCTAGAGCTGGTAGATATTTGAAGCATTTTCATAAAAAAAAAAAATTTTATTTGATTTTGTAAGCAGCATATTCACCGTCGTCTAAACGCAGCCTTAGTGATCCCATTAACGTTCCAATAATATCTTGTATATATTGAACATAATAAAATTTAAAGAAACTCGATGGCGCAGTGAGTAGCGCGCTCGGTTTGTGACACGATTGTTGAGCACCTTTTTCCAATGGCTGGTCATAGGATGGGTGACCAAAGTGTATTATCTCGAGCTCCTCTGTGCTTCGTAAGGCACGTTAGGCCATCGGCCCCGACTGCATCGGCAGTCGTTCATCATCATCATCATCACCAGCCCTTTTACGTCCCCACTGCAGGGGCTCAGGCCTTCCTTATGGATGGTTAAGGAGGATGGGCCATGACCCTCCACGCTGGCCCAATGTGGATTGGAGGGTATTAACGACTGCAAATGCAGCCGGGACCAACGGCTTAACGTGCCTTCCAAAGCACGGAGTAGCTTGAGATAATAATTTTTGGTCACCCATCCCGTGACTGACCCTTGCGAAAGTTGCTTAAAGACAACGATCGCGCGCCGCGGCGCTTACACACTACGCCACCGAGCTACTTAGTCGGTTGGCAGTCGTTAATACCTACCAATCCGCACTCGGCCTGTCATGGTCCTCCCTATTTGATTTGATTCTATTCCATCTATAGACCCAGGAGTGAGGACATTAATAGGTCGGTGATATCATGTGTTGTCTGTCTACCACCGTCTAAACACAGCCTTAGGCCTCAGCCTCTATCATTTGTTCCCAGTAACATTTCAATAATATCTTTTATATCTCGAACATAATAAAATTACTTAAGTTATATATTGGGGGTTATTTATCAGAATCTATCGGATGGCGGAAACTTGATAGTCTATACCTGGGTAAAGTTAAGACTGCCATAAATTTTGGATTTATGGATTAAACTGTCGTAGATAAAACGGAAGGATTGTTTGATTTTATTGAATTTCCATTTGTAGTATTCAAGTAAAACAAATAAAATAGGAAATACGTAAAAAAACTATTTAATCCTTATATTTGATTAATTTTGCATTCACAGTGCTATACTGAAAATATTCTTAATGAAAAATCTTGATCCAACATAATATCCAACAGAAGGTTGTTTTAAAAAAGTAATGTTGCTATATTAAGCATATAACACACATGCTACTAAAAGAACGTACTTAATATGAAAATACTCTTTATACTTGTTTGCTACTACATAGTGTTCATTTACAGCATGTTCTCTGGGTGTGTACATCTCATAAAAACATAGACTTCAGAAACATACTTAATATGAGAATACTTATTTATAGCACGTTTAAGATACATGCTTATCAAAGCATTTCAAATGGAGAATCATATACAGAATAAATCTCATGCAACATTAATCAACTTTTGATAGTAAGGAATGATAAACGAAAAATTTCGTTAAACTTATTTTCCACAAAAAAATCGCAATTACGATTGTTAGCTGCTACACTAATTTATTGATATTTTTATTGTGAAGATACACTTTTAATTATTTATTCAATAATAACTGTGCATGCTTTGTACCATCCGTGCCTCATTCGTTGTCGGATCGTCATACTGAACACATCGACTGTGCCAGTACAGGATTTATGTTGTTAGTAGATATTGGTTTTGTAAGTATTACTTGCAATACAGTTTATGTTTGATTTAAATACAAAAATACTATATTCTTTTTTGAGATTATTTAAATTGTGAAAGTAAAGTACCCATTTTATTCTAAATAAATTTTATACATTAATAATTTGCTTTTATTATTATTGATCCATCTAAGCTAGAAAAAAAGGGAATTAACACGATAGAGGAAAATAAAACTAAAAGTTTTATCGTCGCCCTATCGAACCATCGTAAACTATCTTCGCAAACAAAAGCAAGAAGCAAACGCGCTCACACTCTGGACTTTGGAGACACCCCCTCTCATTCGCACCTTACACCAGGTGCTAATTAGCGCTGAAAAATACATCGTTTTACGATTAAATATCGTTACTTTATAAAAGCACATACATGCTAATGTGTATTCCAGCCTTTACAACTGCACAGTGAGCTAAAAATATGTTAAAGTAAAAGAGTAATGATATATAACGATTAGTATATTATATTACGAGTATGATCGTTATATAATAATAATTGACATCACAATAGTATCATTACCTACTCGGAAGGATGTTCGAGTCGGATATCTCGGTAATTGGATTTATCCGTACATCGGCTTGATGCTTATTGCCTGTATTGACAATCACTGTTCATGCCGAGTTTGTCTTTTACAAACGACGTCTGTTCTTATCTTTTATGTTTACATTGCAAAGCAAAGATTACAATAATTAAAATCTATTATAAGTTTATACTATACTATAGAGTGATGAGAATTTTAAGATATTTTTTTTTTACTTTAAATTCTAATCTTAGATTTTTTAGTATTATAAATATCAGTTCGCAGAGTTGTAACCTTTATGTTATTTTGCAATGTAATAAAGAGGAAATATTTGATTATTTATTTGCATTTAATAGGCTCCGGAACTACTGTACTGATTTAAAAAAATATTTTACATGCGGAGAGTTTATAGGCGAGTCACATTGCCTATAATTTACGCGCATTTAATTTCTATAATGCATAGAAATTAATGATGTTGGTAATTAAAATTGACCCAAAAGTTACACATTTTTCTGCAGACTTTACCAAATATTAACGTCAATAAATAAACGCCAAGATTACAAATATAAAAGAAGTCATATAAGATATTTTAATCAAAATAAAGAATTCTTAAATAGGGAACATCACGGTTTCGTATAAATATAAATGAAATAAATAAAGTATTAGACAATATCACATATATTACTCAGCTATCCACCAACCATTGAGGTATTCCTTGATTTCGTCGTTCGTAGGGCTTCAATGAAATAAAACCTTTATTGCCTTTTGAAATTGGTTTTATTAAATTAAACCTGTACATTATGACAGCGCTGTGGTTGACGACAAGACTGTTTTTATATCGAATTACTACCACCGATCACCAATTAAGTAGCTAATACACATGAAATAATTATGAAAATCTAAAACAACGAAGGTGACCCAGACCAAATAAAATTTAGGAATGTTTACATCTTAATCCAGCGTGCAAACCACTCGGCCATTTTAAAAGAAACATCTTATTATGAATTAAAATAAATGGGTATGGATATTTTCATTCATATAAATATAAAAGCGTCAAACCAGAACACTGTTGATAATCAGACAAAAACAATGAATTTATGAACCCATATCATACTATGGTAGTAATTGAAATGATTTTCTTAAGTAAACCTTCTTGTTATAGACGTCAGGTGACGGCAATATGACCAGCAGTATACTGACCTTCGTGCCGAGCATCGATGACGCGGGCAGAGTGCTGTCCTGCAGGGCAGTTCAGCCATCCCTACCGCACTCCACGCACGAAGACGGTTGGAAGATGGAAATACAACGTGAGCTTTCCATATTTGATGAAAATAGTATATGCAGAATAAAAAATTTGGCATTCCTAATTTGTACCACAAGGATGTGTATTGGGTCCACTATTGTTTTTATTCCATTACAAATTAAATACATAACGTTGTTATACAGAGACGACAAAAAATATTAAGATTTGAGTTGTATTCGTAAATTTTATTATTAAGACATGCAACAAGGCAACTTTACAAATTGTAATCACAAATCGTGGATGTTGCATTTTGCCCATCACTACTAAACAATAAAAAACACAAAACTTTGAATTAAAAAAAACTAATTTTAGCAAGTTATTCGTGATTTTTGTAAATCTAAAATGATTTACAAAATGTTTGTTTGTAAATCAATCAATAGCCGTTCAATTTTTATTTTATCTATGTGGGATTAAGTTATTTAGTATTCTATTGCTTAACTTTTCACATGAGAGACTCGAATTGTAGTTAGTTGTGTAAACATTCCTCACATAATAGTAAATGGAGTAGAAATTTATTACAGCGGACAGGAAACTATTTGAGCTCCATTTGAACTGGAGACATGGCAATGAGTTAGCTGATTACTACCTAAGACAACAGTTGGTATTTTGTTTTTTTTTTTGCAAAGCTAATTTAGGAGACCTTTTGCGGACGATAATCGATTTTAGGGTTCTGTGCGTCAAAAAACAACTTTCATTAAATCACTCGTATATTTTTTTATCTGTTCATACATCTTCTTAGCACAGTTTATTTACTTCAAAAATACTAAACTAATTTAAATTTTTGCTTCATATTAGTTAGACTGTGACCCAAAGACGATGTATGATGTATAAAGTTGATAAATGAATTACAAACACGGAGGTCGCTTTGGAGGGATTAATAGGAACTATATCATTTTATATAATAAGTAAAGGGGCTTGTTATCACATTGTTTTGAAATAATTTTTATTGAGTAATTTAAGAAAAATCCCTTATCTCCAAAACTACTAGGCCTAAATTTATGAAAAAATGCACTGATTTCTTTTCTTTATGAGATTATAGGAAACCTATAACAAATTGATGATTCCAAATTCAATATTTGTAATAAACCCTTGACATGATTGTCTGCTATTTTTTAATACCAATTAATTAGTAAATAGAATATATAGTTAAAATTACTCGTAAATATTTAAAATCTTATGACTATCCGTTCTGGCAATATATATCAAGATAAAGCCGTCTGTTGACGTTTATCTGAACCATCACAGTCCATGCCCAGTGTTACTAATGAAAATGCTGTTTGTCTACAGATTTACCAGTAGTCAAACTGGAACTTGGCGCCAATTTGGACGCGAGTAAAGTTGTGGAGGGGTCAGACGTATATCTAGATTGCAGGGTGCGCGCAAACCCTTGGCATACACATGTATACTTTACACACAATGTAAGTACAGTTACGTTATTACATTGCGAAGTTCCTATGACCACCTTTCAGCTACATCATCACCAGACCTTGGTCTGGAGAAGCATCCAGTACAAAAGTCCTCATAAAGACGGATCTAACGAGTCCAAGTACGATGCAGTTGCGTTGTTTCATCATTAAGTTCCTATGATCACCTTTCGACTTCATAATATTCATGTCAGCTTACTGACACTTCAAGTCTATCGGCCGTTGGGACGTGGTTCAAATTTGAATTCCATGTTTTGCGCACTAACTCACATACAAGGCAAGTTAAATAAAACCTTGTAATAAAAAGAATCAAAGTTATTATTATAATTACTTTTAATATGTTGGAGTGAAAAAAGAACACCTTCGTGCCTTGTTACTCTCATGTGACGACACAATTCTCTTAAAAATATCTCTTCAAATTACAAAGTTTGTTTATATGTATTTGACAGCATGTATTAGCAATATGTGATCAAACCTATGAATTCTAACAGGGTGCTGTAGTGAAACCAGGTCCAGGAGTTCTCCTGGCCAATCAGAGTTTGGTTTTGCAGCACGTGTCTAGAAAGGCGGCCGGAGCGTATGTATGCTCGGCAAGAAACATACTCGGTGAAGGGTCCAGTGATAATCTGATGCTAGATGTCAAGTGTAAGTATAAAACATATTAACATAAGCAGGTTACCATAAAATTATTAAATACCTTCTGTTTTCCCGCGGTATCGCCCGCATAATTGAAATCTTATGTCACCCGCGTATGATGTAGCTTCCCGTAGCTGAAAGAATTTAAAAAATTTTCAAATTTCCGCAATTGATTTTAAACTCTGCTCTCGATGTATTAAAGTTTAAAACTCAAATGAGACTGTTCGTTGTATTTTCTTTTTACAAATTTTTTTTAGTTACGCTCAAAGATTGAAATCGCCCATTGAGCGATGATCAGAACGCGTCGTGGCTTCTCTTCATTGCCACAACGCTTTGTTATCGAATAGCACGACGGCCAAGACATGACACACGTGTGAATGCCACAACACGTCGTGAGCTTTTTTACAAGAGCCATAACATGAATTTCACCATGTGGACATTTTACTGTGGTCTATTATTTTTGAATAATTTTTTCGCTCAATGAGCAATTTCGGTCTTTGAGCGTAACTATTATACTTAAATCATTCAAGCTTATTTACCAAATATTATGCCGAAACGTATAACCTCTAAGAATCGTGACATAATTGCTGAATGAATACGTTAAACCACTTTGCCAACTCACTTCAAAATAAAATTAAGAAAAAGTTTAGTTCTTAATTAATTTTTTTATTAAAAATTCTTTCGTTCTTATTAATTCGTTATTGAAATTCTTTTGCGCAGATTCACCTACTTGCAAATCTTCACAACCAATAGTGTTAAGAGCTGCCAGAGGGGAGTTGATCGACATAGAATGTGACCTGGATGCTAACCCTAAGGTAAATTTACATTTATAATGAAATATGACATTATTTTTTTATTTCGTTACTTCTTTTAGACCTAGTAAGTTTATATTGTTCGGTCTTCTTATTGGCCAACAGACGTCCTGGTCGAGTGGTAGGTTAAAAGATGTTGGACAATCCAAAAATACTTCAAATAAGTTTATTTGAAAAAAGATGTTTTGAATCGAGTTTTACTTGTCAAAATTAGATGCTGCGGATAGGCCCCGGAACTAAGCTGCTTTTTTCATAAGTTTATTCACCACTTTAATGGTAATTTATTCCTATTATAGACTTCTGGGTATGCTTGTATGAACATCTTGGCAATATCTTATATCAGTTCAAATGGTGGCTTAATTGTTCGAATTAAACAAAGATTTGAAAAATCTTTTTTCATCTTGGTTTGCCAATCGTTCTGCTTTTTCAGAACACATTCTTCTGTTATCCCTTAACACATTTATGACCTGCCATAACGTTAGATATTGCCTAATGTCGTTAGGTGGTTCCTAATCATTGGTGAAATGTATGTTCACGTCAGGCGATTCTTAAATATTTAAAAACAGATTTAGGCGACTCCTAAGTTTAGTGATAGTGGGCATTAGTGGCTTTAGTTAAGTAAAGAATCTTCGTGTTTGCGTTACGTTTTACGAAAAAATTTTCAATAAACTATACTACATTTCCATACTACGGCAACGTGTTGCAACAAAACATGAATTAATTTTAACACGGCGTTATTACTAATTTATTTATTATCATCATATATGCCGCTAATAACCGTTATGTTCCGCAAATATTCGAATGCACAGCTCGTTTTAAATGTTATTACTGTATTTGTGAATGTAATCCACGTAGTGTAATTGCGGATAAAGTCGAGCTGCTAGCGAACTTCCAATAGCTTATTATTCAATAATTTTGACTATGATACACTTTTTCACAATAGATTTTATGTTTAGGGTTCTATAAATATTGTTTCTAATTTATTTATGTATGTATTAGATGGAGAGCTCGTAACAAAAAATGTGTTTTAGCTACTACTATACGTGGTACATAGCTGAAGGAATTTTGCAAAAAATCATTACTGAAAATTCCTTCGCCTACAATTTTGTAGTGTAATGAGGAAGTATTTAAAAAAACATTAGTTCCTGAAATCTAACTAGATGTCGCCACAGTACGTTCTTGATTTCTCCATGACAACCTTTCCGGTTTTCTTTCAAGTTTAAAAGTAAATTAGTTTTCAGAACTCAATAAACAACTCAAATTCTATTTGTACTTTTTCGTATTTGTATTGATATCCAAGTTTCGAACTTTTCAAATTTCAGTTTTTTAATATGTAAGTTAATAGAAACGGAAATTACTGTCTTTGGTCCATTCGTTTCCTGCAAAAATCAACTTTTGCTAGAGTCGCCATCTAGTGCAGGTGCTTTTTTAGTGCTTTCGTTCATTACAATATGAAAATGAGAAAAAAAATGTTAATTTTAAAGGTAACATTATGATCGTTTTCCATCGAAAATATTTATAAATTCACGTGTAAGCTGTGACAGAGCCATACGAAATGTAATTAATTCTTTCGGTCAGTTGCACAAACGTCCATTAAGGTTTAATAACATCTTTAAGCTCTAATGAATATCAAATTTGTTTGTTTGTGCAACTGGCCGTTTATTTCATCAAATTTAAATAATTAATAATATATAATTTATTACTATAAATTATTTAAATTTGATTTTTTGTACGACATATACACAAAACCAGTTGAAAGTTAATAATTTTGAGAGCGTGCACCCTTTTAATAGCTTCTAGTAATGAGTTTCATAACCAAACAGTCCGTAGTGTCAAAAATTCAAAGGCTATGTATATTTGTAATTTTTATCAACAAAAAAAGGTAATTATAAAAAATTAAAGTAATCATTGCTAAATAAAAACAATAAAACCTTGATACAGCTATCGCGTTTAATATAACTTTTAACTATAATGTTACATAATAGCTATCTTTAGGTGAATACACGTAACACGCTGAATCTCATTTAAATAAATGTAAAGTACAATTATTATGTCTGCATCTTAAAAGGAGGGCACATTACACAGAGTAGAAGCTTTATTCAGGAAGTGACGTCATATTAGAGCTATTCTGACGTCATTTGTTTCAAATGGTATTTCCGTAAGATGATCAAAAGACTTTAATTACAGAGTGGGGAGTACCAACAGAGAACCCAATTATTTTACAGCGAAACGACCAAATGCTGAAGTTATTAAGTGACAGCGAAGGTTGAATTTAGATTGGCAGTTTGTGTGAGTGATTTCGGAAGTTAAAGAAGACATTCGCTCAATAGCTTTCAAAATTTTCCTACTAAAATCATGGGATGCGTTGATTCGTCCATCTCTAGTGACATAATGTAAAAAAGATGGCGTTTCCAAAAGTTCAAATCTTATTTCTTACGTTCGACGCTTATAGTTTACTAGAATCTAACGTCACAAGTCTGATACTTTCCTTGACCTTGATTTATAAATGTGAGTCTCAATTAGTTATTGAAACCTTTTAAATAAACTAGACATCATATAATGAAGCAAAAGAAAAATCCATTACTGTTGTATCATTGTTCATTAGCAGAGCTATCTTGTAATAAAATCTACGTTGAACTTTACCTACTATAAAAGCTCATATGGGTCGTAAACTATTCTAGTTAAGCAAGCAAGATTACTCCCGATGATACTTATAAGTTACAAATAATTTATATTGTATTACACAAAAAAGGAAAAACTGAGTCTTTGATTGCAACTCGCCAAGTCTGCATCAGCCACGTTTTACATTTTTTTCTCTATAAAACTTAATTTACTCTTAGTAGCGAAATCAAAGAGTAAATGTCAACAAACCGTTCCGAATTGCGTTGGATGAATGTTTTCGTGAGTGTTATTTAGATAAATATTTATTTTTGTGAACTACATTTAGGAACAGATTAAATAAAAATGCGAGTTTTAAAGGATTTTCGTGCAATATTATTAACCTATTTATGAAGCTGGTATACTGCTCTATTATTATTATCTTTATGAAACACCCTCACTACAGACCATTATATAAGCTTTGGCATTTATGAACCTATAGCGACATCTGTTACAATGTACCCACATCGCTAGGAAGGCGTTCATTATCAATACATCATTTGATGTATTTTAAAGCTTTTTTTTTAATTGAAACCTTTTTTAAAGTGAAATTGAAAGTTTTCTTCCCAATCGTATCATTACGGGTTACAATACCGACAAAGATTTAGTTTCACTTAAAATCGTGATGATATTTGTGTTTTTTTTTTTAATTACATTATTTATTTTATCCGTACCTTTGCCAATGTTGTAAAAAATCATCATAGTGTTTTCGCGTGATTAAAAAGTAATATTTTATTTGTCTTTTCTATATCCAACTATGACCATATAAACCGCCCTTTTCCTAAAATTCAAGAAACACATCCTTTACAAAATTAAAGGATAACCGGCCACGATGCGAAAAACATTGTCAACTTTATATTTAGAGAAAGGGCATGAGACTAGTTTAGAAAATTTTATGAATTCTTTAAAAACTCGAGTCAGTATTGATAATTAACCAAATAATATAACGTATGTATCATGTTAAACGACTCCACAATATATTTACCAACCTTAATTTTCACTACTTTAATGACAAAAACCTAAAGGATATCTGACGGATGATTACTAACTAACGTAACTTCCGTGAAACGCATACCGGATGTTCCATCAGATTTTCACCATACCTATAGTATAGACGCTGTATCTTCCTAATTAATTTTAATCCGACCTAATAAGTCTTTATAATATATAATTTGTAGATTTTTCCAAGAAGTCTATATTTGCCGACGTTTGTTACAAATTAATTCATATAATATCCGATCTTTAATATTAACACGGAGTCGTATAAATAACGCCGTATTTAATTAGAAGCCTTTCGTATTTCATTTGAATAAATCCGTGCCTTTGTTCGTAAAGAATTTTCAACAAAGTTCAATTAACTATGTAAATTGTGAACTATGTCGGCTAAATGTTGATTTTGCTTTGCAGAACAAGTTTATAATTGCAACGACAGGAAAAGCTATTATTAAGGTGCAATTTCATTAGTCGATAGGAACGGAAGTTAAGCAACTTTTACAAAGGCCGGTCGTAGAATGGGTGGCCAAATGTTTATAGTCTTTCGTGGTATCTAAGTCTTTCGTACTTCGGAAGATACGTCAAAGGGTTGGTCTGGCTGCAGGGCAATGCAAGCAAAAGCATGGGGGTGAGACATAGCCCATGCTCCCTATTCCGAGATCGACCTCTTCGATTCCATCTATGGGGAAGGTCTGAGCCCCAGCAGTGAGGACGTTGATAAAGTAATCATGATAGTGATAATATCAATAGATAGACCATTATTATTCCATGCGGAGAGCTTCCGTGAGAAGAACACTTTACAATATTTAAAGAAAAGGAAAAGGAAAATTTGGACAATACCAACTTTCATCGTCAAGTCATTGAGCCACCGTTGCACAAATCTTGTGGCGAATCCCTTACCGTCTAATGATGAAACTCTAGAGATTCGCGTACCCCACTTTGACAAACCCTGGTATATACGACCACTAAAAATGCACTACTCATAAGAGGACGCGTACACTAAAAATCACCACCTTTCAACTGGTATAAAGTTAATAAATAATTATAAGTTACAAAAATTACAAAAAGTAACAAAAAATACTACTCCTCTAATACACCATTTTTCCACTTCTTGCTGTTATCATATTTTTTACAGAACTTTTACTTTTACTATAACTTACTATAAACGGGATTAATTAATCCTACTGTCGTTTGTATTTTGGAAGGCGATTTCTTCCAAACTCTTTATTTTTCAAAATTATCGTGTTGTATGTTAAAGCTATAATTGACTTGATAAATTCATATTGATGTGATAATGACATGATTTTTGTAATGACGTTACTTCTATTTGAACTGGTAAGTTTATTTCGCACGTTCTTCTTAACAGCCAAAAGACATCCTGAAAAAAGGCTGTTGGGTGATTCAAAAGAATTTTACAAGAGTTTATGTCAATAAAGATATTCATAATACCTTTTGGAAAAAGTAATTGCCTAGTATGTTTGTATATTTGTAATGTTTTTTTTTCTGAATTCTTTTTTCATGTTTTGACTTTGACTTGCCAATAACCCTGTATCTGTTTGTTGTCAGGAATCGATGTTGTATCATTGGTGGTTCAACAGTTCAGCGCACTCCAAGCATGAGCTCACAACTTCATCATCTACAACCAATCAAAACAATCCAGGTTATATTACAAATACTATTATGGTAATAATTTAATGTGAATGAGTACTTGGCATCATATACCACAAAATGACAAACTGCAATAGATTTTGAAATTACTCATCGACGGATTAAGGTTTAAAAATTAATGTAGAAATTTGACTGTTTTATATCTGTAACGGGCTGTCGACTGTACATATTAGGAATGTTAATTTCGAATTAATTAGAACTCTTTGTTAATAATGTGTTAGGTTACAATAGTGAGCGAGCAAAGCGAGCAGCGGCCGGCTAGGTGACATAATCGAATAATAGATTTACTTAAAATAATTGAATCTGTCATTTACCATATTCTAAATCCAAGATTTACTAAGCGGATAGAGGTGAGAAATTATAAAACATTATATCTGGTTAATTGATTTAATTAACTGTACTATAATTGTTATAAGAATAATATCGATTTACTATATTTACTATGGGACCGAAAAGGTTGAATTTGACTGAAGATATCAGTGACCCAGAATTGGATTGTATATTTTTGACGCCGCGTCACACGTAGACTGGATACTATTAGCGTCATTTCCCATCGGATGACGCTCCGTGCTTCCCGATTCATGTCACGCGAAAAATTCACGAGCCTCCCCCGAAATGACTTTCATATAAAATTTTGCTAATATCACGAATGGAGAAACCGGAAATGTGTGTATTCTTTAGATAAAATCAACGGTAGGTTTGAATTTAATAAATTTTAATTTTGACAAAGATATTTATAACGCTCGTTAATTGTATTCTGTTTAAGAATTATTTTCTGTTATTCTCTATAAAAAGTTTATAACGATCAAATGAACTTATAAAAATTTACAGTCAAAAATAGTATATTTTATTTATCGTTTATCGTTATTTTATATAGGCGTTTTATACCTATATATCATTGCGCCACATTTATTCAAACTGAAAAACAGCCGTATTGTTTTTTAAAACTTATTAGTGTGTATTGATCCTATGAATCTATAGCTATGAAGAAGATAACAGAAGGAAGACCATGATTCACGCCTGTATAGTAAAATTCAGTATGTTAATCAAATAATAGAACCAAATCGACTTCAATATAGAAAGTTATTGGAAATATGAGGTACCGCTATCTTCTTACTAGTCGAGTAACGTCTCGAAGCTTGGCTTACGTACTCCAGTTTAAAAACTTATTGGTATCAACACTATTGGTAACTCGTTGGCGTGGTGGATAAGCGCCACGGTCCGCGATGTTGTTAAGCAACTTTTGCAAGAGTCGAGCACGGGATGGGTTACCGAAATATTAATATTTTGAGCTACTCCGTTCTTCGGAATGCACGTTAAGCTGTTGGTCCTGATTGCATACGCAGTTGTTAATACCCTCTAATCCGCAATCCATTCACCTTAACCATCCTTATGGCAGGCCTGAGACATATCGTAAGTTTAATATTAAAGAGAAATAACCCAATGATTGCATAATTGAAAATGAATCGTAAACCATCATAACTATAAGAATAAATTTACAGTTTTATGTTGTATTGTTATCCCTATTTTCATTGCCCGCAGGAATGTTCACGTACATGGTGAATACGTCATCAGACTACGGGTGGGTCCAGTGCTCCGGTACCAATAGTGTTGGTAGACAGACAAAAGCTTGCCTGTTCCACATATTGCCTGCTGGTAAGATGGAAAGGCATTGATATTGCAATTTCATAAATCTTCAATAAAAAAATCACGACATTGTATATTATTTAAATTATATTCTTTCAAAGACAAAGTTCTTTCAAATAGTCGAAGAATATTTTATAACCTTCCTTACCTTCAAGTGATACAGTGTATTTTAGTTATAAAATTACATAAAAAACTATGCGTATACCTTTCTTGAAGATACTTTACAATCAGTTAAAATTAACTCTTTCTTCGTTAGTGGAATTTTTTTGGTGTTTATGTAATCCCATTTAAAAGCTGTAAAAACCGTTACATAAATATAATATAAGGTGTTATATTATTTGCCAAGAATTCCCGTCAAACTTATGAAATGTTTCATATTTTTAGTATTGTAGATATTACGTATGAAGCAGCTGACTATTTTCTCGTGAATTCGGTGTTGCTCGCATTGTAAAACTTGTTCAGTATATTTAACTTATCCACTCCTCGAATTCCTGGCACATAATGATATTACACCTTATATACTGTAATAATTTACGAGTACTTATCAGATAGCGCCATCCACGAAGGCGCACCTCACTCTTCCAAATCGTTTATACTTTTGACCATAAAGCTCTCTGCTAAATTAGTATATTTATTGTAGTGTGCGTGTGCACTCATATGTTATTAATAGGTATTGATAAAAGTCAAACATTAACAGAACTTTTACACTTATACCATAAACGATTTGGAAAAAAAGTGGGCGTCTTCGTGGATGGCGCTATCTGTAACAACTTCCTCAAAATTGAACATGCAGCAGGCACCGGAAAAACCAATAACGTTCAGAAACATGACGCTGTCAGTAATCAAATTTTAGAATAATACTAGGCCCTTTTTGGCTTTTTGAGACTAGGTTCTGACTCATATACACATATATAATTCTATTCCTACGCCATAGTATTTCAGATAGACTCATATCTTCTGTGAAATAAGTTTAGCTGAGACGCAAACACATTTGTTTTACTGACTCAATAACTTTTTGGATGTTTGCCAACAATCTACACATCTGAAATTCCAGTAGAAAAGAAGAGAACTTCTAATTTAGAACAACTTATATTGCTAACAATAAAAAATATATTTACAAAAGATTTTTTGATTGATAATTCTTTTTTTATTATATTTTAAAAAATAAAATTATCAGTAAAAAATCTACCATTTTTATGACTGTTTCAATAGCAGTGAACGAACTGGATTTTTTTATTACTGATTTTAGCAAAAATGAAAAAATTATGACATCATATTTTGTACACTGACTTCAATAAATTGCTGTATATCAAACGTCAGACAGGGTTGCCATCTTTTTTGAGGAAACTTTTTTAGAAAATGCAATGTAAATTACAATATTTAATTTTCAATTTCAAACTGGCAGTTTTGAAAATGGAGCCTACAAGAACCTACCTTTTTTCACAGACAAACCATCGTCAGTGAAAGCGTGCGAAATCACAAACGTCACTTACGACTCTCTCACACTAAACTGCACTCCTGGCCACGACGGCGGTATACGACAGGCTTTCCTTCTACAGGTTAGTTTATACCGTTCTATAAGCCAGTGAACAAGTCAAAAATACTTTTACTTAGGTTGAATTTATATTATTTTGACTTTGTCATGCCTCTAAATGAAATGGAAAAAGCTGTGATTTTTAGTGTCGAGCAAATTAAATCCAGAGGTGTGTTTATATGGACTGAAAAAAATATTTCTAGATATCATTGTTAATAGATAATAAGGGGATAAACTAAAAACGTCACACAAATAAATGAACACGAAACACTTGCGCCGCCCCTCGCATTCTACCGCCCTGGGCCATAGCCCTTTTCACCCTGGAGTAAATAGTTCTCTACTACAGTAGAGGCCTGACTTATAACCCAATGTCCTATGTATAGTTATACAGTGTTTTGTCTTTTTCTCTCAAATTGAAAGTCAGATTGAAATGACATTAATAGAGCTATGTGTAACTAAAGGATTATAAATATTTTATTAATTTATTAGTAGATAAGATATAATTGTATGATTTACCACAGGTATTCGACATGGCGACGGGTCTCTTACTCCGTAATATAAGCAATGAGGTACCAGAGTTCGAAGTGTCAGGGTTGTCAGCGAGCGTGTCGCTCGCTGTATCAGTTAGAGCATTTAATAAGAAAGGCTCCAGTGAACCGCTGACACTCACGTCTAGTCTGCTCAAATATCCGCAAAGACACACAGGTAATTTGTGTTTTTTTTGTGTTTACTCTTGATTTTATTCTATTTCATGGGGCATGACTGAGATCTTCTATCGGTAGGGCTTGCCCAGGAGGAGCTTATTCACTTCGTCTATAGATTTTGTTGTTGTTTTGTTGAATGTATTAAATTTTCAAATTGATTATATACTTGTGTGTTATTATTATCGAAAGTACTATACTACTCGTATATAATACATGATAAGTTTATTTGCTAATTTCTTTTCAATAGGTAAGTCTATGTGAAATTATTTTTAGTTGATGATTAGTGAAATTTTATTCATACATATTTTTTTTAAATGCTGTTTAATCTCGTCCGATAAAATTAATGAGGTGCCTAGGCATTTAAAATATTATTATTCGATAGTTAAACAATTAGTTTTTGTTGAGGACCGTAGCTTTCTTTGTGGCATTATCTGTATTGTCATAGATTCCATAGAGGAGCAATCGGATCAAAATTCCAGGAAACACCTTCAAAGCAATTCCAGTTAGTAGCATTGTCTGAGCTTGAATGATAAATTTTCAGCAAGATATCAATGTCTCTCTTAGTCTTAAACAACAGATTAATGATTACAATTTAAATGATGATTTATACTATATAATTATTAAAAAGTCTATTAACTTTATAATTATTATACTTAAATAATCGAGTAGTTCTTAATCGATTTGGGTAATTAACTCAAAATCCATATGATTTTAAAATGTCATATCTCTAGTCGTGTACTTTGACGTCACGACAAGTGCGCCAAAAATTCCGGTGTTTAAACTGCTCGTTGTTGTTACTTATTTTCATTATTTGTTATTGTTTCTAAATTTTATTATTAAATATGAAAACATTTTCAAAAAATGTGCATATTCCCTATTAGGTTCCGTTGATGACCCTAGACCCTTCTTGTGGCATTATCTGTATTATTACAGATCCCATAGAGGTGCAAATTAATCGGATCAAAATTTCTGGAACACCAAAATATTCCAGTGATTATTACACTATGAAGTGCTCGGTGGACCAATAGTTAGCGTGTTTAATCTGCAATGCAAGTTTAAGCAACTTTAGCAAAAGCTGCTCATCGGATGGGTGACCAAATTTTATTATCTTGAGCTCATCCATGTAGAGCTCGAGCCTTAAAAATTCAGATTGATGGGTTGGATGGATCCATTCGCAACGGGGCTTGGTTTGTCGATAATGTGATTTAATCTTGAGCTTCCTCCACATCCATCATCGAGAGCTTAAGATTCAAAAAATTTGTTCACTAGGTCACCAAACCACACTGAGCCTGCAGGATGACAGGTTAGGTACAGTTGTGGGTACTTCAATAGGCTTTAGACCAAACCAAATTGATCTTTCTCTTACTATAATCTTTTCCTAAGGCAGGCAAACTATGTTCGTCTTATAAAAAAACACTGACCGCATAAAGCAAATTGACAATGACAGAAGAGAAAATTCAAATTAAGAAGTATTGATTTAAATTAGTAGGATATTGGTATATAAATGATTGTTACTTTCTAGCATCAATCAAATTGGAATAATACACATTTGCATATAAATTAAAAAAGTTCAATAATTTTATGGTACTCTTAAGCTTCATCTTACTCAAATATACAAATCATTGTTTAGCAGACGAAATTTAATTAATTCACATTTTAAACCCAAACATTTAGTTCCTGTATTTTAAAATATTACAAGCTGGCAAAGTTGTTCAATGACAACCTTCTTGTAATATATAAATATAACCATTAGGCGTTGTATTCTCCGAATCTTGTTTGAATAAATTTTGTGCATCAATTAAAAATAAGTATTAAGCCCCCGTAGGATATAAATGGGTAATACATTATCTGAACTTGAAACTATGTTTCTGATCATTCATTTCGCATCGAATTCTTGCCTAGAGATTTTTATTAGAACAACTTTTTAGAACATAGAGCATTCTGTATGTTTCAGGAATTGTCACTACTGATTTGAATAGAATAGCAGTATTCTCAATGCCATAAGTTTTTAGTGATCTCTTGGTCTGTTTGTTATTTGTGTCCTTTTTTTCTCATTTGTTGTCTAGCATTTTTATTTATTTAATTACGAATAACAAGGGTATATACATACTATGTTATCTCATTTTATCCTAACATATCCGTTTCTATCCTATTTCTTTTTGTCACCAGCACAAGTGCCGGTGAAGGTGGAATTGACGACAGTGCTCATAATCGTATTAATAATAGTGGGTGTGATTGCCGCTATGACTGCTATATCGGCCACCGTGTTCTGCTGTCGATACTGCAATAAAAGAAATAGTGAGTGTTTACAAATTATCGATATAGACTAATTAGGTGAAGGTTAAGATGGTGTAGTAGAAGACAGTGGAATATTTAATATTTAAAAAAATCCGTCCAAATGCGAGTTGGACTTGCACAGGATTATGCATCATTATCTATAAATAAACACGAAAAAGACACTTCATTTTATGGAACCTATTCATTTTGGCTTAAACATTTATTCTTATAGTGACAACATGAATATATCTTCTATAAAATTTTCAATTGTCTAACTATCATAATAGATACAGCACGGTGACAAGTAGATGGACAGCGGAGTCTCAGTACACTCCAGTTTTTACCCTTTGGGCACTAAAAAAAGAACTATACAAAGGTTTAATAATGCATTCCTTCAAAAAAATCGATTTCAAAGTTCATATATATTCGTAGCTATGTTGTTCACAACTCGAAAGTTATTCAGAGACAAGATTTAAATACGTATTTTTCACCATAGGGAATGGCAAAAATTTTATAAATATCGATTTATAATGGGTCGTAAATCTAATGACATCTAAATAAATTAAAAAGGGAAAATTTAAACGTTTGTGACTTTCTTACACAAAAATAACTTTATGGATTTGCAATTATGATACTTATTACACTAAAAAGGTTGGATTATAAAAAGCTATAATGGTTAGAAAAAGCAGATTTGGGAGCAAAAATTATAATAATTTTTTATAACTTATATTTTAAATTAAGCTGTTAGCAAATTAAGAGTCTGACATAAAATTTTCGAACAACAATCTTGGTTTCTAGCCAAATAATTTTAGGATTGGATTTTTGCTATTATTGATTTTTATTGCTTGAATATACTGTCAAGAATTTTATTATTTTTTAACATTTGAAATTTTTATATTGCAATTCCGTTTATTAATCGTTTTTAAATTAAGATGCACCTATAAAATAAGATTCCTATACAATATTCTATTGTTTGTGAACTGAATGCAAACATATTTTTTGGTACAGATAAAAATGAAAAAGATAAAAGGCATCAAGATGAAACTTCAAATATACCACTGACTGGCAACAAGGAGACTGAAAGCGTCGATAGCTTAGGTAAGTAACAGCTTTATTACATTCAAACGATACCATAACATTTTCCGCATAAACTAACGGAAGCCATGACTCATAAAAAAAATGACGAATAGGTGTTATCAAATACTTGCTTACATTTCGTGTGACATCACAGCACACAATCTATAGACTAACATACATGCCAGGGTCTTTGCCTATGTGAAAAAAAAGCTTTTCCAATTTTAGGGCTGTCTTTAGGTAAATGATTATTTCTTTTCTAATCGAATTCGATAGTGAGCGCGTTCAGTCTACGATGTGAATGTTAAGCAACTGGCTGCATCTGCAATCGTTAACGTCCACCAATCCGCACTGGTCCTTCGTGGTGGGTTATACCCGTTCTCCCTATTTCATTCCATCCATAGAGAAGATGTACTCCAGCAGTAGCCGCAGGAGCATTATAGGCTGATGATAAACAGTTGCATTTCTCTTTACAGATAAAAACCCAGACATTATTCCGCTTGATGGGAAAATAAGTGACAGTTGTTCGAATAAATCTTCCACCACAGACTACAGTTCAATACGACCGCTTATATCTAAAACTATAAACGACAAATACGACATACCACCTAACTGCGACAGATTTTATGACCACTCCATAGACTCTTGCAACCAATACATACAAGTGAGGCCAATAGAGTATAGAGTTAGGCCAACTTACCAGCCCGGCTTGGCGCCAATGGCAAATTTGGGCCCTAGTATACAGAGTCTTGGGCCAATCAGCAGTTTGGGTCATGTGCCCAATGTTGGTCCAAACGAATGCCACAGACCTTACGATAAGGTGTATGAAGACTGGTTGAAGTATAAAAATGCCTTGCCGCTAAATACAAGTGGATTGGTAAGTACTTCATGCTTGTATTTCTTTTATTATAGAATAATATATATATATATATATTTTTTTTTATAAAAAGATCTAAATCATTTATTTAGTCTTAGCTGTTACAAGCACTTCCTGAAAGTCAAAACCCTGTCCAACTGTGACTTTTTCTAAATACGACTAAGAATAGAGTTGATTTGAACGGCCATTTTGTTGAGTTATATTTACTATCAGCTATTACATAACCAATAAATATCTGGCGAATGCCGAAAGTTTAATCTTTCATAGTAACAAAGAAATTTACTCTGAAGGAATCGTTTTCTAAGAATTTAGTTTGTTAGTGGATTTCCTATTAATGTTTATTTTGAACTCGTATTTCAATTTTACTTGCGTAACTTCCTAGAAATTTCATTAGTCGGGTTTTTACTTAAAAGGTTTACTTTTCTACGTTTAGTTACCAGCTGAGCAACTTATGCCGCCTGAGCTATATGCGTCTCCGCCAACCCTCTACAGTAATCCAAGAAATCCTCTCAACCTGGCACAAATGCCAGACATAGACACGAGGTAAAAATATGTGTTGATGTTTTTTTTTTTGACTTCTTTACAAGAAAAACGTTTTAATGTTACATTAATGTATTTATAATAAATGGTCTTTGTAGCAGCATGCTTTATATACAGAGAATAAAGAGAAGATATTTGTAGAAGTATATGTGTGACGGTGTAGGGCCTAAACACTACACTGTAGGGTATTAATACTCATACAACTCATAGAGTATTCTAGGTTCGTAAACTAAAATATATAATAAAAAATACTAAGGAAGATAAAAATATTCATAGTATGAACAGCCAAAATTCATTTTATTCCGAAGAGAAGCACAAAAGTTGCTTGTCATATTATAATTTGTCAGTACTAACTTTTGGCGACAGATAAGAAGTTTTGAATATTCATATTTCATATTCGTTATATATTCAACTGTTTTTTTTTTAATAGTAACGTGAATAATAACTAATGTGACACCGACAGGTACCATTTGGAGTCTAGATTAGATTCCAGGAGTTGTTCCAACTCTCCCCCAGTGAGGTTCAACACGGACAACAACACGGTCTACTTTAGCAAACCTGTGCTGGATAGGCCGACAAATACGTTACCCCATTTAAAAAGTAGGTTAAATGGTAAGTTCCTACAAAAAGTTACTCTTTTATCCTGTATTATTTGCACTATCCTATCTTATCGTATCCAGTCCTCTCTTGTTTTACATAACATTGTTTTCATTCTTATATTTTTTATGGCTATAGTAGTGATAATAAGTGTCTATTTTAATATTATGGTCCTGTTAGATGTCTTAAAATATAAAAAGACGAAAAAATTTTTAATTTGTATTTTAAATAAATTTCAATATTACACTACAATTAATTTAAATATAACCGTACCAGTAAAAAGTGTGTAATACTTATTTGTATATTCAAAAGTGAATTTACTTTCAGGTAACACGTCGAATCAGAGTGATATCAAAACTAGTGCAACAAAATCCACTGACACCAGTATGGAACATACCGCAATGTCTACTCAAGACTGTGGGTGAAAGTGTGAAAGTGAGGTTTGACTTTAAAATTGTAAGTGTACTTTGACTTTGCAATGTAAAATATATACAAAGTGTAAAGCAACAAAGTGTTAACCGTCCGAAGAAGTTTTTATAAGTGAAAGAATATTTATTTTGGTTACTGCAATTATTTTTATTGAGATTTATTTTATTTTAAATTACTATAAATTAATAAGAACAATGTTTAACGTTGGATAAAAGTAATTAAAAACGAAGTCACTGCCGTGTTGCTCGAATAGAATATTTTCTAAATATAATAAAGTATTAACTGAAGTGTGTTAAAGTATCAAGAAGCTATTATCATTAATAATATAATTCAATGAAACAAATAAATAAAAGTGGCTAAAGGTTTTACATAAAATTCTGTTGTATAAAATAAAATATATAACATAAAAATAAATTACAAACCAAAAACATTTGCACTGATTTCAAAATCATATTTTCGGTTGAAGATGCGTTTTTATACGCAATAGTGGCTTTAAGTTTAAATATATATTTTATTAGACTTTTTTCGTAAATGTCTCTCTTTTATAGAACTTGGTTCGTGATTTGATGAAAATAAAAACAAAATTTTGCTTTAAAAAGGTTATTTTATAATCAAACGGCCTATTTATCCGAATAATTATTTGTAAACTATTTTCAACAAAATAATTTAGAGCAAACAGATAGAATTATCATTAGTTTGTTCTCAAACATTTATCGTGCTTTATTTCGCAATAAATTAAAGGGCAAGTAGTTAAAGAAATTAAATAGCCTTTCTTCGTAACAGACTTCAATTTGAGTTAGTCTCTTAAGATGTCTATTCAATTAGTAGACACGAAATTAAGTGACCGTTAATGCGAAAGCTTAATAAGAAAATCTATAATAACCCTTATGACCTCTAACTGACATTAGTCTTTAAAAGTTGAGTCCTTTTTCATAATATCTATTGATCTGTTAGTTGCCATTGAATCTAACTAGTCTTATCGATTAGTTTCCTAGTGGTTACGTCAACTGTCATTTGCTAAAGACGGGGACATACTTAGTATTAGGAAAATACTAAAAGTTTTTGAATAGTTCTATTTCTGATTATAAATGATACAAATATATGAAATATAATTTAAATACCTACAAAGCTTAACACAACCCTTTTTCAAATGTGTCAAAATTAAGTGACGCCATTGATGCCTTCATTAAGTGACCGGTGAGATCTTTAACGTTTTGTTGACTATTTTAAAAAAATTAAAAAAATCCTAACTTTTTTATACTCAATTGAAGATTAAAGTATTTTTCAATTGAATTTTGTGCTTATAAACTAATTACTCATTACAAACCATCGTTGTTACGGTATGATTTTAATATTTAACAATATTTTAAAGATAATTCATGAACTCATTGTATTAGGCGAAATTTAAGCATATGCACATACATTAATATATATAGCTTCCAAGCGATATATAGCACTTTGTATTGGAACTATTTGAGGTAAATCACCGGGAAATTAGTTTGGTATATCGCGTGAACTCGGTTGGCTGCTAATCGAGATGCGGTTAGCTTGGGGACCGTACATACGTTTAGTTATATCAGTAATTGACATCGATAGTAAATAAGTCTTTATATCTATATATCTTTCTTATATGGTTTTCGGGATAGAAAGAGAGAACAACAGAGCGGTTCCGTTTGGAATTGGAGATTCACTCAGGTGTCTGAATTCACTTCGAAAGAGAATCCACTTAACTGATATTAGTGTAGAAATTCTATTGATTCCATTTATTGTATAAAGATATAATACAAGGTTAATAGATTCGCACGTGTCTTAGATATTCTATCCCTATGTCGACGTAACTCGCTTCACTTATATCAAGAGACGTTAATACCAATTCAAGTTTAAGCGGATTTCGCTTTCGAAGTGAATTCGACTTCGTGTTCGGATTTTTACGGAATCGCTATGCTACTCCTTTTAAACACTATCTATATATATCTTCCGTTGCTTTAATATTCATAATTCTTTTTTATCCTGCATAACTTCTAATATGAGTGGAACTCTCTAAATCTGGGGATGGTTCTAAAGCTGAGGTCCAAACTGTTGAGCCGCAAAATTTACAACCGTTTATAATCCGATTACCTTAATTTAGTATACGATTTTAAATGTTGAAATAATTACCAATATATAAGGTAAAAATGTATTCTGAAATACGCCTAAAAAATAATAATTAATATTTTCACAACTGAATATAGATATTCTGAGGACGGTTCACAACGTGTAACTAGTAAAAGATTACCAATAAGTTTTTATTAGTAACGTTATTTATCGTTAATTAGATAGGAGTTGAAATAAAACGTCAATTTGTGTGAATAGAGATGTTGAAACTCTGATATTACATCTTCCGTAAGATGTATAAGACTGAATTTATAGCGTAAATATGACAGAAACCATGGATGTACTAAAAAACTCACAGATTTTGTTTAAAGCGTCTTACGATTACTGTAAACATATTTCTTAATTAAAATAATAATCGTGAATTCTTTACGCGGGAATTAAATAGTGAATTACCGATTTTTTATTATTGTTTTTTATCTATCCTCTTTATACATAGGTCCATGTTTCTAGATATCATAAGTAGAAACATGAAACTATGTAGTAGACTGCTTATTTTAAATTCTATCACAATTACTTTAAAAGGTAAAGCGATTGCGACGGCATTAATGTAATAATTTAACTTTTAAAGTCGGAATCGCTTATGGAACGAATAATGATTTAAATGATCAACAAAAAATAAATAAACTTAGTTTAAAAACTATTAAAAACTCGCAAAGTGTTATGATAAATCAAAATTATGTCCTTTATATATTGTTTTCCCGAAAAGATGGTAATTTATTTTACTCAAAAGATGGCAACACTGAAATTTTTGGGCTGTTTTTTAATTAAAAGTAATCGTACGAGCTGATAGTTTAGATACCAAAATTATACACATGTACAATTATAATATGTGTAGTTATTGTAAATAATGTAAATATTTTTATGTTAATTAATTGATAAATAGATATACGAAGAGTTGCCATAATAGTTACAACTTAGGTTATTATAGTTCTTATATTATTAATAATAACGTAATTTATGTGTATTTAATAAAAACGAGCTTTTAATTTAATATTGGACGAGATCAAAATTTATTTAAATACCTACTCCAAATCGCTTCTCCTTGTCTGCGACAAAAAATATTCTTAAATAAAGAATATTTAAATAAATTAAAAATACTTTTAAAAAATATTTGAAAGTTATTATGTTTTAAATAGAATTTTATCAGTATTTGTATTTTCAAGTTTGTTATTATCGAAATCCAGAATTGTGCAAGACACTTGTGAGGTGGGAAATGTAATAAATTTCGATATTATATTATTTCTTAAATTGTTACTAACGAAAGCTTGTATAAAGAAAATTTAAAGAAACGTTGAGTATTAATTATATTAAAAATGATAATTATTGTAAATTAATGTGATATTGCTATGACAAAAGATAATTGATTTGTGTTCATTTTAATAAAAAAAAAGTGTGTTTTGTAATTTATGTCTTATTACTGCGCATATAATGATGATTTTGATTAAAAAAATGGTGCACTTAGCGATTTTTGATAAAAAAACGAATGACAAATCCTAATTGTCTATATATATATATTAAAAATTTTATTTATATATATTAATGTATCCTTATTTCAATCACACGTGAACGGCTGGGTCGATTTCACCAGTTATTTTTTTGTTACCTTTGTTAAAGTCAGGAGAAGGTTCTTATGAAAAAAGGAGAATTTTGAAAATATAAGAATATGTATATTTAACCACCATATCAAATTATTTCTAGTCTAACATTAATGCTTTGGATAATATAACCTTTTTTAATGTAACCTTATGATGTTTGACATAGGATTGACAGAATGCATGCAGCAAAATTTTATAATTAAGACAGGACGTCTGCCGGATCAGCTAGTAACATTATAAAATTGTTATCGTTATAAAACATACAATCTTCCTCTAACCAAGTATTTTAGATTCTAGCACGCTCAATTCATGTGATGTCAATGTTTTAACCTCGATAAGGTTAGGTTTATGTCTTAGATTATTTAATATGCAGATACCGTGTCTGTACCCAAAAATTGAATACCGCTAAGACGGTATTCTTTCTAAATCATATAAAATAAAAAACTGATAAAAACGATCAAAGAGTAAATAATTATTTAAACATGACAGACATGCCATGGCAATATTGGCATGGGTGTAAGATTTTTTTCCCCTTTTTTATAATGTTGTTGCTTTCCGTATTCTTTAAATAAGTCGCTTTAATACATAGTCCAAAGTTTAAAGTATAATTACAACAAAAAAGTTATGAGTTTCGGTAAAACATTGTGATGTATTATCTACCGATAAATTATTTTAATTATTTTCTTCAAAAGTATTTGAAAGATGAGTGATGTTAGCTGCACGAGCCCTATAATGAGCTAGAAGTACCTACTGTAATGATTTTTTATTACCGAACAGTTATGTTTGGAAAATTTTATAAATAATATCAATAAGCTTAAATTCCCATCGTTTTGGGGTTACCATTGTACACCGTTATCACTCATGTTACTCACATAAATGGGCAATCAATACACGTTCTTTGTTCACGCACACACGAATCGTAAACGGCTTCACTATTATCGGTTAGCTTTGGGGACACGGTATCTAGATAATAAATAAACTAAGGTTTGTGTATAAAATAATTTTGTTAATTTCAAGTAATCATCAAACAATGCATTTTGGCAAACGTTATTTAACGTTGGAGTTTATATAATGAAATGCATTCTTCCATTTCATTACCAATATGAGTTTGCCTACCGTTATTTTTAAATTGAAAAATTTGTCATACGTTTTTTTAGTCAAATGACAGGACACCTAAAACTGATACCCTTCCAATGTTTTAGAAATAAATATTGATGAGAGCATATGATATCAGGATATCAACTTTTGTTAAATCAATTTACAACAATAAGATCGGTACCCCGGTATCATACGTTCTCATACCAATATGATACAAACTAAGGTGATTATCATCGCATCTATCAACTTGTTAGAACCACGTGGATGT